ATATAGCCGCAAACATGCGGAAGCTGACGGATTATCGCGCTTGCAGTACACACTGGATCGGCTGTCCCAATATGAGCCGAGCCCCTCTAAACAGAAAAAACAATGCACTTTTATGTGCTTTGCCCAGACTATTGCTTGAACGCGCAGTGCGAAACCGCATGGCCCCCAAAATAGTGCAAGTGCGATTATCCAGCTGATTCTGTACGTTCACGGCTATATAATAGCTTTAAACGAGCAGAATCCATGCAGTTGTTTCACATATAGCGCTTGCATCCCGTGTGGTCTTCCGCCGGGAAATTCAAACGCTATGGGGGTTATTCACCGAGTGAATAACCCACCAAAGGGAAGTGAGCTGAACGCTGTTCGGCTATTCACTTAAGCCTTGTAGGGCTGATTTCAGCTGTACCTCGGCTAAAATCTGAGCCGAAGTGCAGAATTAGTTCGACTTAGCCGATCCAACATCTGGATCGGCTGAGCTGAAGCTCTGGCAGCTCACTCACTCCCGTTCGCCCCTTTTCTCATAGTGGCCGAACGGCAGTAAGTAAATAGCCAAATGCTGCGAGCGGCATTCGGCTTGGCTATTCTGCTCGGTACCTCCGTGGTAGCGAGCAGAATAGAAAAAAAGTTAGATGAGAAAATTTTTTTTTAGAAAAATTGTTTTAAAAATGTAAAAAACAAATTTTAGCCACAATCTTGGAGGGTGAGCGCATGACGACATATGCCTGCATGGGCGCCTCCATCTTGGTGTATATCTTGCACAGAACGTGCTGGTGGCCGATATGGCAGCCGAGTGTTGTGCAATTACATGTGCGGTTTCGGATTCTGAGGTTCGTTACCTCCGAATCTGAAATGGCATCATTATTTGTTTCGTTTGATAAGACGAATGAGAATGTTTTTAATTGTTTTGTCCAAAACTAATTTTTATTATGTGCACATGTCTAAAACACGCTGAAGAGGCGCATATTTCATGTTGCTCAGATGTCAGGCTTAAATCTAAATCCAGCAGCCTAAAAACATTTAAACCTACGTAATAAAATGTCATAAAAGTAACCTAAAACCCTTTAAGTATCAGTAGCAGTGAAAAGCAAGCACCTAGAGCTGGGGTCAGCAACCTTAAACACTCAAAGAGCCATTTGGACCCATTTCCCACAGAAAAGAAAACACCGGGAGACACAAAATCCTTTTGACATCTAAAATGAAGATAACACTGCATATATCGTTTTTTACCTTTATGCTCTGTATAGCATGTATATAGGTATATGAGGGCTTAGTAACGCACTGGACACTGGGCTTAGTAATGCACTGGACTCTGGACTTACCTGTGTATCCGCAGGGCCTTCCTGAGAGTGACCCTGCAGAGCACACCATAGATCCTGCACAGCCAATCTGAGACTCTCTATGGTGGGCTCTGCAGGGCCTCAGGTGGGCTAGTTGCCGGGTCCCTTTTACTGTACCTCCTCCCAACTCCTCTTACCTGCTGCTGCTGGGGCCTGGCCTCCTCCACCCCTCCCCTGTCACCTCTGCCTTGCCGCCCCTGGTACAGCTGATACTCATGTACGGGGCCCCCCAGGCTGCCCAGACCCCTCACATGGGTACCGACCGTACCCCCCTGATGGCGGTGTTCTATCAAAGTTTGTGACTACATTACAATGTGTGACCGGTGACGTGGTCACACATTTCAATGTAATCCTGCCCAGTTTTTGGCAGTGGAATGTGTGACCGCCAATAGGCCAAGCATTCCAACGGTTTCTCAGCTGTTCCAGGGCAGATCGGCATCGCAAATCGTATGTGCAGGAGAACTGATCTGCCCTGGAACAGCCGGTCTTCTATCCGACTCTGTAAGTGCGATCTCACATTCCACCTCACTCAAAGTCGGATAGAAGTGACATTTCAGGACTGAAAAGTAAAGTA